TCCAAAAGACTGATCCAATCAATATTCTTTCCTGAATCATAAGATATTCGCCCGGTGTAAATGTACCTGCCATGAATCGTTAAATCAGTATTCACATTCACATCATGTTATACAAATACATATATTATACATATCTCTTTGCCAATTTACCTGAGCAAGAATTCGAAAACATCAGGGGTCATATCTTCAAAGGCCATGGTTGTCTTTTGAATCGCTTCGGTCGTCTCCATATCTCCAGTTAAGTCATTCTCAAGCAGTGCGCTTCTCGTGCATAACACCAAAGTATGAGCGAAAAATATTTTGTTGTTTGGTTCCTTCCCAACATTAATTGAAATATCAGTATATCTGCCACTTTCGTAGAGTTTCTCATAATCCGCTGAAAGGATGGAGGATAAATCAATGATGTTCATTTCGTTACAACGTTCACTGTCGTAATAATAATAAGGGAGCCATGATGATATAGATAATGTAAATCATCACTGTGTAACGTGGTAGATTTTGCTTATCTGATCAAATCACTTTTATCAGTGCAATCAAATCTCGGCTCGGGAATAGCTGTAAAATAACATCCTCATCTCTAATTCCAATTCAACGCTACAAAATGTAACGATTATATTGTTAGTGAAAGATATGTCGCTATGCTTATCAGCCCTTGTCGGTTTGGAAAAATTTACTGTTTACCTGTTGCCGTTATTACATTTTCACTTGGCCGGCTTGTCAGTAAATACTAGATAGATCGAAATGAGAAACCGATATACAGCAGACCGATAACGATAAAGTGAGAAATGTTAATTTATTTACTAACCGCAATGTAGCAATTTTCATTCAGTAAAGTAGAATTCCATACACCTGTAGTAATAGTAAACATGGTACGCTAACCCTGCGCCTGTGCGGACTTACATTTAAAAGAGAGATAACTGCAAGAGTAGAGAGTTTTTTCGTTATAACAATTACCAATTTATGGGACATTGCGCAATCAAGCATCATAGAATTGTTTCGGGACACAATTTGCCTGACGACTAGCATGGGAAATAATTAAGTGTAATCGCAATAATATAAAATTTGTCAAGAGGCACAATTGTTGCGACAAATTTACACATCTTACGGCAGTTTTAATTTTTCATTCAGTGTAATTACGCGAAAAGAAGGTTATTATAGTCAGACACATCTGTGGACTGACAGTCGTGTATTGGGAACGAATTTTAGCACAACATACCCTACATGTACCAGAGTTGCGATTTTTGGTCGTTACTGAAATTCTGTCTTAGGCGATTTGAGCATAGAAATAGTAGTTTTAGTATTTTACGTATATATGAATATTGGGCAATTAGATATTGCTGCTAGCCGTTTGGTAGAAAGATGTCAGTTGGTTAGGATCGTGACATACGAAGAGGTGAAAAGCCGTGATTCGGTTCAAGCGAAAAAGGACGTATTGATGATTGGGGTGTACCTCTTTAAACACATACTATTGATGGTCAAAGGCTACTGCTATTAAAAAGTAATTAGTTTACTAAAGCAGATATATATTCGTAGGATAGATATTGACTATACAATATTATTAGTATAATGTACAGCAGTTGACTAAGCAAGTACTGTGTTATTCTGTCTTATGTGACTTGGTTATTATGCGCGTATGAAATATGTTTTCATTCGGATTGTGTGTGGATATTATTAACAGAGACTTGTTAGTATGCGAAATCAAGACAGTTTAGATTACATAATCGCAACATTTTTGACGCAAGATTTTTATGACTTGTAGGTGAATATCAAAATTGAAAAAGTATTGGCCAATACTATGCCAATGTAAAAGCAATTATCTTTATTAGTTATGCAAGCTAGCCAGCAATATACGTATACTAGCGCAATGAAAACAAAGGTTATGAATCTTTAGCTATTAAAATTTGCATAGCCGACCAAATTTGCACAACTCACGCTTTACCACATATTGATTTAATTAAACAAACATAGGCTTATGCGAGCATAAATAACATGTTAGAATTTTTTATGCTAATTTTTTGTCAATTTTTTTTCTTTTTCTTGATATAATAAATTTATTTGCTTGTAATACTACCGATAGTTAATCTTGGACAATAAAAAAAACGTATAGCTTATCACACATATGAATTAATTGAAATTGCATAACCAAATAAATTAGTGCAACAAGCAATTGCAGCGATGGGAGAAGCTTTTGCCACAAAAAAAATTGATTCAAAGAACGTAGCTTTTGATTAATATTGTGAATATAGAATAGTGACACATAATGATAACGATAACTATTTCTATATCATCGAACGTAAACTTGAGAGAAATAAATATTCTCCAAGTGACAGTCGTAACATATAATACAGAAGGAAACATTTATTTATTATCGTGTAACAGATGGCATGTGTTTATTAATTTTTTTTTTTTTTTTTTTTTTTTTTTTTTTTTTTTTGCCATAAATAAACACTGTTTGACGGTTTTGTTAATAGTAAAGCACGGAAACATTTATTTATCATCGTGTAACAGATGGCATGTGTTTATTATTATTATTATTATTTTTTTTTTTTTTGCCATAAATAAACACTGTTTGACGGTTTTGTTAATAGTAAAGCACGGAAACATTTATTTATTATCGTGTAACAGATGGCATGTGTTTATTATTATTATTATTATTATTATTTTTTTTTTTGCCATAAATAAACACTGTTTGACGGTTTTGTTAATAGTAAAGCACGGAATTGTGAATAGCGAATGGCGAGTCGTGAATAATGATAGTGAATAGTGAATAGCGAATAGTGAATAACGAATCGTAACGTAGTGATATAGTGATACGGTAATATATAAAACGAGCCCAAAAAAAAAACCAAAAAAAAAAAAACTTATATTTTGTCATCGCCTTACATGGCTTACCGTTATACTAAATAACCAATTTGTAAAGCCGGCTACGAGTCCGAGTTAAACTTCAACAAAAATTGTTCTATAGTTTACACCACGTTCTACGTAATTTACTTAATAGTAATATTACTAAACGTAACAATTTTATCTTTTCGCAATAGCTTAATTAAAACTTGCCCAAACAAAAAATTTTAATTGCAAATGCACGAGATGCAAGACGGTTAACAAATACATAACGTATTAAACAAGCTAAAGTAATAAATAATTAAGAGCTTTGCTTTTTATTTTCTGCAATTACATATTTATGATAGTAATGGCAATGTTTTGTAGAAGTAAAAAGTGTGTAAATAAATAATAATGGCAAAAATATATATTGGAATAAATTTTTGATTTAATTAGACAGTAGTTCAAGACCTTTTAGGTTTCTGTACTGTGACAATAATTAGAAAATAAATTATCAAATAATATAAAGTAATTCTACATTGATTGACTTACTATTATTATGTTATTATTGCGCGTCTGACGTTATGGAATCAAGTAAACTGTTCTTATTGTAGCTTTGTTTTTAAAACCATTTAGACAAATAAGTTGAATCTGTGGTGGGATTTTGATATGCGAAGATCGTATATAGACGGTGCGTTTAGATTTTTCGTTGTACGTCAGGCTTATGTGCGTCTTGGTTAGCGTTTTCTGATCATTTTGACAGAAATTTTTTACAGGCATCATTATAACGTGACGTCAGGATTAATATTTTGATGCGATGAGTGAACAATTCGGTTCGATTTGGCAAATATAGAATTGTCTAATCATCGACTGGTAAGGTTAGATTGAAATACATAAGCTCGCTGAGATTGATTGGTTTTTTAAAAAAAATGCCATATCACCATCAAATTACGCTATTGTACTATGTCCTATGCAATTTCTATATGTTTCGATGTCCCAAACCATTATTCGCCTAAATATATATCGGCATAAAAGGTATTGTGTTTGTAATAGTAGTTATTAAAAAAATGTTTATCTTGTAAGAGAAAATAAAACTTTTCGATAAAGTTGGATTATTTAAATATGTTTCCACTTGTATTTGATTTACGAACAAATTTTTTGTATCAAAACCTTTATTGATCGATACATTACAATGTTCAATTTATGAATTGATGGCTATAGATAATTATACCTCAACGCTTTCAGTTTGGGCTCTTAAATTTCTAATTGCAATAGTTACAATAATGTTTAATTATCAGCAAGCTCTACTGATGTTCTCGCCATCGAACCCCTACTTTCATCCCGTCCTTTCACCACGTTTCCAAATTGCCCTCTCCTCAACTCTGTGAAAAAGTTACCGCTTTCATCGTTACAGTAAACTATCACAAATTTCCAGAGTTGAGGTACACGTATGCGAACCCACATATCGACTGTACGGATGCGGAAAATTACATACAGATTGACGGCTTTGATCTAATAATTTTAATATTATTAATACTAACTCTGAATCATAAGTTTTATTGTAGTAAATGTATTAATTATCCTGATGTTTCTACTAAAGGCTGGGAACCAGTGATAATTTCAGGATGTCAGACCGTTCTCCGTCAGTCTCTATTTCTTGGATAAATTCATGTAACCAAGAGACGACATCGCCACAATTTCTTGTTACTCAAGTTGAACATGTCTAGGAATCTCTCGCGTGTTAACGGATTAGCGTAACGCTAATTAGAAAATTGAAATCACCACTAAAATTCTACAATAGAAAATCTACTGATCGAATAAATACACAATCTAAGTCGGTGTTCATTCAATGACGTAATCTGTCTAGGCGTTGAGATAAATGCTCCGTTGAGGATTTTTGGCTTCTCATTTTATTGTAGTAGCGGCCATTCGGCCAACAATCTCAGATCGGCATATATATAGTTCGTGGGATTTATTGACTTTCGAAGTTCATCCCCCTCAGCTGACTAGAACTAAGGTCGATTCCCTCTGCATATGCCAATAGGCTTGCTGAAATATCAATGTTTTTCAGGCAATCATTGGCCCACTCCATTAGTCAATTTAGTATTAAAGTAATGCTGAGGGAGAGTCCCTGATCTTGTATTTGACATGTATGAGTAGTTGTTTATACAGCTCTCGATTGGTCATTTGCCGTTATTGCCAGCAATCCGACAGTGATGTCAGTAGTGTTCCAGACATATTAACCTACATAAAACAACCATGCTACTACTTCAACTGTCTTCCATATTACAGTATAAACCATAATATACAGTATAAAGTTTACCTGACCTTCTTGATCATGCATATGAAATGTCTAAAACTTACCAAAGCCTCTTAAATGCTGTGTGATGAACTATCCCTTCACTTTCTGCACCGAATAAATGATCCAATACATATGTATGGCGCAAGTATCACTGTCCCATCCTAATAACCTTTCCAAACCCCTTCTGGATATGGAAAGCTTCCTACCATCAACCAACTGATTATTGTCCACCCATCCAAAATCCTATTACTATCCCAAACAGTCTGAATTATGTCATTGATACCCCTCCTCTGTATTTAAATTCACTTCTTGTGATGTTGGGTCAGTTTTTGGTATTGAGATCAATGTTCTTCCTATCCTCCACCAACATATCCGTATTGATCATAATAATAGTACTACTTCTCATATGGCCGGAACTTGGATTTACGCACTTAATTCCATATCCTACAGTTATCTTCGCGGTCTAATTCCTCTTTCGATCCCATCATTCTTCTTCAGAGCATATGAGAAGGTAACCCGAATTCCCTACACGCACGAAGTCTATTTCTTATATTACTTATTGTCAATAATATTTGATGATAGTGATAGTATATTAATGGCGATGGTAAAAGCGAGCGTCCCTAATACCAAAAGTTTCGGCACTCACTCACATGACATTATGATGACATCTTGCGCTTTTTGACTAATCAAGTCGCTTTTTTGGACTAGCTCCTATTTAAATCGATCAAAACAATGCAAATTAGGGAAAGGATAGTCGGTAATCCCGAATTAATATTAACGATATCTTTAATCTTCGGATTAACAAGTTGTGTTATCAATAATCCGAACTCTCTCTTGAATTCAACAATTATTCGGTTTACAGACATAAGCTGTTATTAAATGGGTTTCCACGCTTCCACCACCTTGCTAACGTTTGATTGAGGTGCGAAAAAACTGTCTATATATAATTATCGCTCACTTTTTACTTCAATACTTTAATCTCTCAATGTAATTCTCTAAAATTTACTATAAGAGTTTGTGAATAAACATGTCCGAAAGGTTCTGTTTTCTCACTTTTCAAGTGCTTTCTCCGAAGCAATTAAGAAAAGATCTGATGTGTCTTTGACACGTGTTTGTATTGTGATTGGTCAAAATTTATCAGGCCGATACTTCATTTTATCGAAAGAGAAAAGTTAATACATGGTATGTCAGAGGACTTTTACTTTATATTGAAGTTTGCCTGTACATTCATTACATTCACAAGCTACTGCATTTTCCATAAAGCCAGCGAGCCGGATCGTGGAACAAAACTCTTGCCAATCTGGAATGCCGGAGTAGCATTCCGATAATGAATTACTAAAAGAGGTAATATCGCAATGAAAGCATATCAACAA